CAGCATCAATTTGCATGTCTTCTACTTCCAAATGTTTAGATTGAAAAGTCATTAGTCTCATCATTAAATTATAATAATGTTGAGATTTCCTTGTACGATTCTCAGATCAAAACTCAAAAAGCCGATTATCACATTTCACAACAAAATCAATTGCTTGATTCAATGTCTGAGGATTAGATAAATTGAACATCAATTTCTTTACTTCATATTGTAATACATAAAGAAATTGGTTGATGAGTATTGCATCATTCTACTTAATATCTATCACTAATTTTCAAAATTATGAAGTGTATAATATCACTGATCGATTGCCTTGTCACAAGATACAAATCTTGTTGGTTGCAATATAGATTGCATCATGTTCTCCATACATAGATCGAAACTCTACCAAGAATGCTTCCAAATTATCCAATATTGCATTATATTATTCAAGAAATGATAAAAACCATGATAAATCAGAATATGAAAGTAGTGTTCAAAAAAACCTGACTTGTGATCTTTGAGTTGGATAACTTTGAGGCTGTAGTTCAATCACCACTTGTACTTGATTGATGAATCCTTGAAACTTAGATCTTGTGCCATCAAACTTCTCAGGCAATCCAATTTTTGATTCTTTGAAACTTGAACAATGTCCTATTGTAGGAGCACTAGTGAAGCTTGGTATAGATGTTGAAGCAACTCCAATCATCTCTATATCTTCACTTTTTGATAATCTTGCTACTCCTTGTGGTAGTAGACTGAGTTGATGCATTGCAAGCATTAACTTTCTTATTTTTTCTTGTATTTGAGCCATTGCACCTTTCATTTCAGCAAGCTCTGCTATGCTAGTAGAATAAAATATAAAAAATAAAATATCTATTCTCACATAATACAATACTCAAGAATCAAGAAAAAAAAATTCTAAAAACAATATCAGTTTAGAAGAAGGTAATCCATAATTTCTAATATGCTTATGTCTTATCAAGAGAATGGAATAATCTAACTTTAATTAAGAAAGGACAAAGCTCTGATATTATATGTGTACTCTTATCAATTTGTGAAGGACACAAACTAGAAGAAGATACATAAACTCATGGAATCTATGACAAAAGAAAAGTGACAAAATAGAAGAAAGTATGTATATTCAAGGAAGAATTGGAATGGCTATTGCCTAAGCCTAGAAATCATAAGACTCTTGAAACTAAACTAAAAGCAAGAAAGGAGTTGACAAGAATGAGAAAGGCCTCACTCTTGCCTCTATATATACTACTTAATTAAGAACTATATGGCGACATGCTATAAGACCTCTAATATGCGTTCAACTTGCAAGACACATATCTAATTTGCAAGACAAGTTTCCTAGGTGTGTGCCATATGTCCAACTTATACTACAAGTGGTCAACATGTTGACACGTGGCTTCCTTGTTGGCCAAGTTTTCAACCTATCAATCTCCTATAGACATGTATAAAGGTAAAGCAACGTCTATGAAGTTTTTATGAAGCTTTCCACAAGATATTATCATATTTATCTACTTTGACTTACTTCTACCTATTCTTATTATCTAGATAATTATTAGAATAAATATGTATATCTAAGACAGTGGCATATATTTAAGAAACTTGTCTTGTAAGTTAAGACATGTGTCTCACAAATTAGACATGTGTTGGAGGTCCTATAGAATGTTGTCATGTAGATCTTAGATAGATAGTATAAAGGATCTTCATCTCTATTATGTTGCCTTAAAGGTTATGACAATTTTAATGCTTTATTCAGTAACTTAATAAATCATAATTCTTGAGTTGAATCTATTGATTTTTTATTCTCCATCTCTTTAGTATTACAAATACAAAGAAACCACAAACAATTTTTTATTCTATTTTGGCACTACCTTGAATCTAAGATCTCTTCCATGTCAAATTTTTTATTTTTGTTTACTTCTATAGGAGAAGGTAGCATATGTCTTTTTTTTATATATCTATTGTCTTGTATAGCTCAAGAAGAAATATATAAAACACAAGATGGATCTTCATAAATTTTGGTAGGTGTAATTAATAAGCAACTGAATTGATTTTTTTTACAAATAAAAAATAGTCATAGTGTAAGATAATCTAACTTGTTACAAAAAAAAATCTTGATATTATGACAAAGTAAATATACCTTAATGGTTATGTATAATTAAGATTTTTTCATGTAAAAGGCATCTATGTTGATCTTTTGTTATTCTTGAGCTTTATTTAATTATACTTTTATTGTCATATGTCGCTTTAATAAATAATTTGTTAAATCTTCTATCAAAAGATTATCAACTTTTGTACAATTAAAAATATAAAATTATAAATAACAACTATAACTAGCATAATATGATGATTTTTGAATAGAAGAATGTATCATATTATTACTTTGCTAATGGCAAGAAAGTGTCTAATCAGCTTGATAGTAGTTGATGGTAAATCTTAGTTATTATTTTATAACTTGATTTTTTTTAATGAATTTAAGGATAGAATATCAAAGATTATTTTATATTTATAGCTTATCAATTACTTATAGACACACATAAATCTAAATTCTCATTTATAAAGCTTTTCCACAAGATATTATATAATTTATTTGTTTTTACGTACTTCTATGTAAATCTTCTTATTTAGATAATTATTGATTATAATTGTATCTGTGGCATTACTATAAGTTTAAGCCATCATGTGGTATGATTAGTAAAACTATGATAGGATGTAACGGATGGCAAATTGTGGTGGCAATAGCATAAATTATGATATTAATAATACTTTATATATTTGAATTGTAAACACCTAGATTCTTGCACCTCAAGAATCTCAAATATTCCTTCTATGTTTCTACATAGAAATTATCTCTATACTTATCTAAAATCTCTACATTTTTTGATTTTTTCATCGTCAAACAATTCAATCTTAAAACTATTTTCAATTTATTTGTCAATTTTATCTATCAATTTTATCTCACCTTCTTCAATTTAGTCTTCACACATCTATATCTTCATTAATTTCATCTTATCTTTGTCTTCTTCAACTAATCTTCATATATCTATATCTTCACTAACTTCTTCTTGTCTTTATTTTCTTCAACCTAATCTTCAAATATTTATAACTTCATTTCATCTCGCAACTCTTAAAACTCAATAATAGACCAAAAGTATGTGAAATGATATGCAAGCATGTCTATTATAATCTCTTTATTATGATTTTCTTTTAATGATAATAACATAGTTTTGAAGTTATTTATATATTTTTATAATAAATTTCTTTTAATACTAATTAATTTAGTAAAACTAATTTATTTCTAACTGCAATAACTATCAAAGCTGGTTTTAACCACCTTATCTTTTAAACACATGGGTGGTTGATCCTTTTGCTTTTTAACACTCTTCTATCTTTTTTGATCTTATTTATACTTGTTTCTATAAGTTGATTTTCTATACCAAATTTTATTCTTTCTTTTATTTTATCATATTAGTCTATTTTCATTCCAGTTTTTTATAATGAATTTTCTTAATAAAATAATATATTTATTTTATTAATTATAATTTCTAAGAATAATAAGTTTCTTTATTTATTAAGATATAACTTTTATTATTTAAAAAAATTATTATTATATTTTACTTGTATATATAGTTGCAAATATATAAATGAGTTATTTTATTAATGCTATATTTAAAAAAAATCTACTTATGTATTTGTTTTTAGACTTGTAAGTATTTTTTTCTTAAAATTTTATGCCGTTTATATATTAGTTTTTACTTTATGACAAACACAGTTAATACAAAAAATTCTACATAAAAATAATATTTATAAAAAATATTAAAAAAAAATTAACTTAAATCACATGGTCATGCTTCAAATGAGCTACTTAAGTACAAGTTCAATTGTTAGAAGATTTGGTTATGTTCAAGGTGCTTTTGTTTAAAATTTCCATGGTTCATTGTTGTTTACATGCTTTTTTCTACTAACATGACAGAGAAGATAAAAAGAAGTATATTGTAAAAATAAAATAATAAAAGAAGATTGAAGTAAAACAATGCTTATATATATATATATATATATATATATATATATATATTAATTTCTTCTTGCTTGCATGATTAAATTGCTAGCTTATACTAATCTAATTTAATAGATTGTGGAGATGGATTGTTCTTTACAATTGTGCCCAATGATGTCTTAAAATAGAAAAATAAATCATATAAAGCCAATGATGCAAATATTATATTATATTCAAAAATTGAAGATATAATAACTTGATATTGATTTAAATTATAGATATTATTCCATAGAATTATAAAGTAAAATCTTCTTCTACTAAGTATCAAACCAATACATATTAAACAATTGTTATAATTTCAATTTGGCTTTATCAATACATTTAAGATTGTAAAAAATATCTACAATTTAAATCAATATCAATATATCTACAATTATATACAATGTTATTTTAAAATAGAGAAATAAACCATATAGAGTATTACACTAATATTTATATTAAATTATAAATTCTTCAAGATTCATTAGATTTCTATGAAACATTTGTGGTTGTGGTATCAACATTGGTGGCTCTATATATATATATCTTCTTATTATGAATCAATTTTCTATATAAAACCATGCTATCATAAATAAATCAACCATTATAATAAAAATAGAAATTATAGACAAATTTCTCAATTCTTTTGATTTCTTTTAGGAATGATCTTTAATACCATGAGCTTATACCAAAAAGTAAAAGATATGAATAAGATTAAAAATTTATGTAATAGTAGCAGAAACTTATCTATATCTATATTCATAGAAATTGATTGTAAAGTGAATTGATAGATATTAATTACCTTTAACCACTGAAGTCTTTCATTAATAAACCATGAATACTAAATCAAATCCTCCATCAGTTAGTACGTTTTTGAAATCCATGATTTACTGCAGCAAATTGTGGCTATTTCACGTTTTGAAAAATATTCATAAACATTTGAAATTAGATGTCCAAAAAGTTAGTGTGATAAAGTCCATGCTTAACACTGTTTATTGTTCATATAAGATGGAAATTTAGGATACAAACTTGTAATTGGAAATCCCCTAACATAGCTGACATAAAGACAAGTGAAGATATTAATTCCATGACGATTTGTGCAAAATTTTGAAAGTTTCAGGTTCTATTTTCATAAATTCTAACTGTAGGTTGAATTTTCTTATTAAAAATAGAATATAGGATAGAAGGTGAAGCCTTGAAGATGCCGTCGAACAACCTCTAACTCCACATGAGCCCCATGTAATTTTGCAACCGCTAAGTGACTCATCTCACGATCATGAAGATGTACATTTGGTTTAGAATATGAAAAGTACATCTACACGATTGTGAGATGATGAATAATTGAATTTCCCAGTCTGTCGCAGGGTGAAGCCATTACCGCGCCGAGAATGTATCGGACACATGAACTACAATTAAGATGGGAAATAGCGCAATATAAGTGAAAGTATGATACATGAAGGAGAAACGAAGAGCAAAGTGTGGCAATGCAATGCCATGCAAGTGGGCATGATCCATGAAAACCAGGGTCAGGGAACTAAATTGGAGCCATTCCCCTCATGCGGTGGCTTAAATGGTTACCTGTTAGAGCGTTGCGGTGAAGATGGGAACTGCAGGCTCAAATTCCCGACCAAAACACAAAATGTGCACATGAAACCAGGGCGTGGACAAAAGCAAACCAGAGCAAAGGCCAAGGCAATGCAGAGGCTTAGAATGGCTGGAACGAAGAGGGTCTAAGAGGGAAGATGTGAAGAATTTGCAGAATCATCCCCAGCTGCGTCATTTTGTTGCTTGGAGTACAGCATGGTGTAGACGCGCTGCGTGCGAGAAACGAGGAGGCAATTGAGAGCCACGCCGAGCATGCACATCCCCGTCATGATGAACAGCGTCTCTCGGAAGCACACCGGTCCCTCGCATTTCAACACATCCACTTCTCCCGGCGCAAATTCGCCATGCTGTTTTTTCGCCTCGCGATCGTACAAAGTTCCAGCAATCAGCCCGGAGAACACAAGCGACCCTGCCGGATTCGCCATGGTCAAGAAGTTGAAGATTATGCCAAAATGCTTCAGACCAAACAGTTCCGACGCTGTCGCAGGCACTATGGCCCAGTGTGCTCCGTATCCCATGCCCACTAGCAATGAGCCTGCGTACAACGCGCCAGGCATGGCCACCGCTAGCGATGCATGCCCTACCGCCATCAGCGTCTGCGATGCCGCCAGAAGAATCGGCCTCGGTAATGCATGCTCCCTGCTCAAGTTTTCACGAGGGTCCTGTTTCTGTTAGACGATGTTTTTTCAATTTCAATGTCCGTCTACTATTGTGCAATGAACACGCGATTACCTCGAGGCAGTTTACAGCTGGATGCAATTATGTTTTGGTTACTGTGGTAAGTCAGAACAACGTACCTGGCAATCACTTCAGAGACGTAACCGCCACCCAGGCGACCCAGGAAGTTCCAAATACTTATCAGGGCAACGAAAATGTGCGCGTCCTTGTATCCAAGAGACTGCGAAATCTGACCCAGATTGTCTATTACCATCAAACCAGATCCAGCACCGCACGCCAACCCGAAGAAAAGCAGCCAGAAGTCTGCTTTTCTGAGAGCTTGCTTCAATGTGAAGTCTTCGCCTCTACGAGGGCCCTTCCGTTTCCGCTTCAACTTTATGGCCCCTTCAGCTACGGCCCGGTATAATCGCGAACTGGCTCTGCGTAATCGATCACTCCTCACAGGCTCTGGCCATGACTCCTTCTCATCTTCTAGTTCGCTAAAGAGCAGGGAATCTTCTTTGAAACGGGAAGACTGTTTCCAGTTCAGAGATTTCTCTCCAAAACTCTGCCCGTCATTTGGCTTCTGTTTCCCGCTGCTGCCGGCAGACGACTCTCCATCATCGTAACTGCCTGCTGGTGCACCAGCTTTGGTCTCGATATCCTCCAGTAAAGGAGCTTTCAACTGACCTTCTTCGCTTTGGAAGCTTGTGGCAGATTCCGGGGACTGTGCCCTGCCCGTGGAAGACGGAATAACGAGGACCAAGGGTAGAGCAAGGAATGCTAGTAATCCCAATGCAAAGAAACGATCTGTGTTTGTAGTAGCCGCGGTGCTATCTTGTGCGAGAATGGTGAACAACAGGTAGGCGGCTAGTGATAAACAAATGCCATACAGAAAATTGAACTTTTTGTCCTGCACAGTACTTAGTTCTGCTTCAAAGGGCAATGGCTGGATCACAAACATGGACAACAATGCCACCAGTGTTGGCAATACTGCTACCATAAATATGAAGGACGCTTGGTCGGGGGCATACAGAGCCGTGTATATACACGTAAAAATGGCACCTCCGAGACCGCCGAATCCTTTCAAGATCCCCACTATAGGGCCCCTGTAATGCGAAAAATTTCGCACAGACGTGACCAGCGCAGCTGTGTTGAAATATGATTCGCCGTTCGTCCCAACACCTATTAGCAGACATACCTGTTCACCCCACCGCACCGAAGCATGCACTTCATTGTCATTCATGAGCACATTTATCAGAGATGGACTTCACACACTATACCTTTTTCCTCATTGCGCCACACTGTTTTTGGACAATCTCAACATACAATGTCCTCGCACAACTCGTTAGTTCCTACCCTTGACTTATATCTATATATATATATATATATATAGAGAGAGAGAGAGAGAGAGAGAGAGAGAGAGAGTGTGTGTGTCGCAAAGTTTGGTACACAGACGGAACATACCCAGACGAAATTGAGTTGAGGAACTCGTTTAACGACCATGAGCCAAAGCCATCCATATCCCAAAAAGTTCTGCAGTGCGCCCACAAAGATTAGCCCCCATGTTGGCAGCCAATCGCACATGAACCCCGCCAGCAGTCCAACGCTGTCGCCGATATCCTTGGCCACACCCAGCCGGTTAATTTGCTTCTGATTGTAGTCCAAGGAGACCTTAATCACCGGTGATAAGCTTCCGAAAACATACCCAATTCCAGCGCATGACTGCAGCCATATTGATACTACCAGCACCAACCATCTATTCACCAATGCCATCCGCTCACTGGCGGCCCACTTAACCTTATATCAGTTAGGCAAAAACCTAGATTGAGCCTTCAAAATGCAGCTCAGCTGGCGTAGTACTCGCACTAAATGTGTGTTTAGAATCGTTACTGACCACGTCTGCCTGGCCCCGTTGCAACACTGATGTAGCTAGAAGTCTCGCACTGCAAGAAATTGAGTTAAATTCTGTGAATTCCGGCTCTGCTTTCCAAATAGACTAGCACTTTCCAGCTATATCGTTTCCATGCCCCTCTTCCTAGCTCAAACAAACCATGCCGGCCAAGTTTTGGCAGAGTAGAAATGAATCATCGCTTGAAATAAAAAAAAGACTCGAGAATAACCTAGCAGATGAAGACGAGTGTAGGATCTGAGAACACTAAAGTGACTAGAGAAGCTTTAGTAAACAGCAAGTACAATGTTCAAGACAAAAAAACATCTCAAATCACCAGAAACCTCTGCAAGTCAAGCCCAGTCACGATAATTGTAGCCTCTCAATGATCGTTCTGCCTCAGCGAACATAATTGCAACCACCCAAAACTTACGACCAATACGCAGCAGGATCCAAACACAGGGTCTGTAGCTCCCGAGACAACAGCGCCGCAGGGATACATGTACACACACATCATAATAGAAAGCAGTTTCAAACCCTAGACATCACATCACTCACGAATCAAAAACTCTCGTCAGAGAACATTCTCAAGACTGCGAACTTGAACGGCGGAGCATCGTCACACAAATCAGGTTTGAATATTTCAGATGAGATTAACCTGAACTGCGCTTGAGTATAGAGCCCCAGAAAATAATTCGTTTGAAGTGATCACATCGGATCACAGCTGTAGCTTTCTTTCTACCAGACTCGATTGGTGTGAGGCGCCTCGAGGCGAGCATTGTCTATCATTCCACTTGGGATGCATGCATGTGAGGGGCCGTGACCACGCGGCTCCAGCGAATTGTAGAGGAGCTGGCGGACTGTTGTCGAGGAGGGAAATGGGGAGGTGTTCCACGGACTGAGACATTCATCTCGGCAACAATACCGTGGGACGAAACTTTACACCGAGACTGATGCTGACGCAAGAGTGGCACTGTGACACATCATTGACGTCGAGCTCTGAGAGATGGGGATGGAGGAGAGTGTCCATGTCAGACAACCCTTTAAGACGGAATGCCCGTATCTGCCACGCTGCACGAGATTGCTTTGAATTGCGCAAAGTGGGTTCGGAGGGGGGGGTTCTGGATCGCCACCGCGAGGTCGAGCGCAAGAGCAGGTGAAGAGAACTCTCCTCTCCAACGGGGGGATTGAGTGCGGTGCAAGGCTGAGCCTGGAGTGGAGGGCCACTGCTGAATGCTTTGTCCCCACCGCCGTCCCCTCTCCTCCTCCTCCTCTCCTCTCACAATACAATGGATGGAGGGAGGGAGAGCTGCATGATGGATCAGGGGCTGTGACGAAGCAAAGGGGAAGCAGCACAAAGACGGACACAACTTGGAGAATGAAAGCGACACAAGGGAAATGTCTCCTGTTTCTGTCTCCTCCTGTTCCTCCTCTAGAGAGGTGCCCCACTGAGTTCGTTACAAAGGCGTTGGTTTAAAAGGGGAACCCCCCACCACTCCCTTCCCTTGCTGCATGGCATGCATTCTCTTCATTCATTTCCATTCTATTCTCATATCTTGTATCATTCCTTATATTGTCCCACGCCTCCAATTGTATATTGATTGCTCCTCCTTGTCATTGTAATTGGACCATTATAGCCCACACTATTTCATCCATCTTCCATCCCCATCATACATTTACTTCGTCCCCTTTCCCAGCTTTGTTCTGTTTCTTGAAATGTCATTTTAGTTCAAATATGTGTGAATTGTGTTTGAAACAGTCTACTAAAATTATGGACATATTTTTATGATGAGAATATATATATAGATATAAAATGTGTAGAATTTGAGACTCAAGATTTCTCTATTGTAATAGAAGTGAATTGTAGGGAGAGAAGGGGGAGATTTCTCTATTGTAATAGAAGTGAATTGTAGGGAGAGAAGGGGGAGATTTCTAATGAAAAGACTGATTTCAACTCTGCTACAATTTTTATGGCGTGCTCCGTTGAGTGTTGTCCAGTGGAAAGTGCTTCCTTAGAAGTAGAGTATAGATAATTGTCCGTTACTGACTCGTGATTGTTGTTTGTTTTTTTTTTTGTACTGGAGACCTTTTGAAAATTTCGCTTCTTGTCCATGTCATGGTATCCACGTTGACAAGGTCAGAGTGAGTCAGACTTGGAAACCCAGAGCATGATTTGGGCTTCCACAATGACTGAGTTTCCGACCCTTGAGAATGTTTTGATGGTTCCTACAACAACCCCATGACGCTGAACTTCTGCATATTATCTGATTCTGTCGAGTGCTTTTTCGATTCTGGCCTCGTCGTCACATGATTTTCTATTCCAGGTCTGTGTTTCACCACAATCGTTCTGAGGTACTTCACACTTGCTCTCTGGTGTCAAGATTTGATTTTGATTGAAGGATTTTGAAGTTGAAAGCCAGAGAGAAGATACTTACAATATATATCCTGGTTCTCTTGGATCTCTTCCGTCGTCTTATGATTTTTTTTAAGGAGACGAGCAATGTAACAATCTTCACGAAGTCCGAGGAGATTTTCAATTTTTTTCAGCAACCAACGGTTAGAAGAAAATCAAACTGCAAATTAGTTTCATCAATGATCTCATGAGGATTTCCAAAAAATCAATTCATTAGTTTTTTAATTGAAATGGGCCTTTTTATTCTAAGGGCCTATAACTAGCCCCCATTTACTTATTAAAAAGTAAAAATAAAATGATTAATGGCTTACAAGTTTGTATGTATGTATTATACATGGCAAAGTAAAATTTTCTTTTATGGATTCTTTGATTTTTGCATGTGCTTATGTTGTTGAACATAGCTTCATGTTGGAAGTAAACCATGTATATCTTGTGTATGTATGATTGAATTGATTCCAAATACTACTACATTTGGTAATTAGTGCAATGTGATTTCATAACAATTTTTTTCCATAATATATATATAAAAGAAAAAGAAAAAAAAGAGTAAAAAAGATCATTTCATGGCTATTGTCTTGAATTTTGCCAAAGAAATTGTATTTTTAAATAATATTTTTATTGAAACAAAAGGAGATGAATCTCTTTGCTAATTAATGGAGCATTTGTTGCATAGAACAAGCCTTAGTAATGCCCAAGTTTAACATAGTGTATTCTTAACTTTAGATGAAGACTGTAGTTCTATGTGACGAAGTTCCATACATTCATGATTCACAATTCTCTTTGATCCAAGTAGATATTTTCATTTTTTTATGTATTTTTGCTCATTGAGAGATCATTTTTATAAGAATGAGTGTCTCAAACAATTAGTTCTATTGTAATCTATAAATCTAATCCATTTTAATTAATATATTTTTTCTCAAACTAAGTGTCTTGTCTGAAGTTTATACTACTTTGTTGCTTCTAAAAAGCTTAAAAGGTTGTCCTTACAATCATAGAATAATTATTTTTTAATTGTTATGTATTTGAATTAGATGAGAATTTTATGAAATATTATTTATTAGATATTAAAAGAACGTTGAAGAGGGTATTTTGGGCCATTCCTGGTAATAAAATATGGTTGTACATCAATTCAAAATATATTGAAGAAATTTGCATAACCAAAATCTATAAATGATTTTTTTAAAAAAATTGTAAAAAGGTATAGTAGACATGTGTCATATAGATCATTGTTAATTTTCTTCTATTGAGCATTAATTGCAATATCTTTGCATCAAATGAGGTAAATAAGCACTAATTCTCTTTTAGCTCTAATTTTCTTTTTCTTTTAATTTTAATTTTAAAAAAAATTGAGATAAACTTTAAAAGAAATAATCCTTGTTATTTTGTGATTGTAAAGATTGTAATATGACTTTGAGGAGTTTCTTCTTTTTTTACATTATATTTCCTTAGATTGTATTAATTATTTTATAAAAAAATATTTATATCAAAGTCAAACTTGGATTATAAACCATAGAAGATTAAGAAGTGATAGTTGGTTGATTGTTTTTCTCAATATTTTACTACTTGACAATGTAATAGAGACCTAGAATTAAAAAAATAAATAAAAAATAAAAAATCTAAAGATATTTATTATCATTCTCTCTCTCTATATATGTGTGTCTTTTTATAGAATTAATATAGCTTTACATATTATTAAGATATTTTAGGCTATATTACTAAAAATAATAATAACCATTTAATTCTTTTATCTTTAAGAATTTTAAAAATAACAATAAGTTAATGTAGATTGTTTTAATGATATAAACCAATCCACTTTTTTTTCTAAAATTTCAGAAGATTTAGAGCTAAAGTCTCATTTTATGCTTGATATATTTAAAAAGTTAAGAATTTTCATAAATGATGGTTAGATGGTAGGAAGTTGTATTTTGAAGTTGCAATATTCAAATTTAAAGAGCTCTTAGAATAGATGCATCACAAATGTTTTATTTGATCTAAAAAATAATTATATAATTTTAAAGTAATATACTTTAGAATAGTAGTATCAATTATTAAGAATTCTTATTTATTTTTAAGAAAATATTTTAATATAACATAAAATTTATTTTGTAGGATATATTTGAAATCTTTATCAAGTAGCTTTTGTGTTTTTTAAATTATTCTTTGAACTTTAGAACTTGTTATATTTTTCTAAAAATAAATTATTAATCAATAGAAGTGAAAAAGATCATTCAAATATTCTTCCAAATAGTTAAGTGTGTTGAATTTTGTATCTAATAATATTTACTATTAATGAGTTTCTTGGCATAAAAACTTTGATTATCTATAAGGTTGGTAACACATTTAAGGCTAATATAAACCTGTGAGAGTATGCCTTATATTTTAAATACATTAAGAAGTCATTTTTTTTTTCTTGCTTATAAATAATTCTTGGCTAATTTTCTAATTAATGTATAGCAGCAAAAGAATTTTTTTAAACAATTAAAAAATAAAATAATAGAGACAAAAAAATAATCACAAGTATTCTTCTTTTTATGTTAACTATATTGGAGCATTAATATTTTAGTTTTCTTTTGACTCTTTGAATAAAGAAGTGATTAGTCTTTGGAGAGATCAAATAGAAACTGAAGAAGTACTTAGGGAGATGTTTAAGTCCCTTTTATTTGTCTATGTATGTTAATATTGACTATTTCAATTGAGAAAAAGGTTACAAAAGCACCAAAGAGATATAAAATTGGTCAAATTGATGTTGAGGCTAAAATTTTGATTGGATTTATTGATGATGTTTACTACATATTTTACATTATGTTTGATGCCAATAAGAAAGATAGTTAAATCATCTCTATATTAGCTAATTACTAGTTATGATTTGTAGATAGAAAGGAAAAAAAAAACTTAAAGTAGGATTTTAGTAGAAGTTACCTTAAGATTAAAGTTAAAGATTTTGTCTACAATAAAGTAGACATAGAGAGAAAAAAACTGTTTTGTTGAATGAGAGAGAAAAAAAAAAAAAAAAAAAAAAAAAAAAAAAAAAATCATTGATGATTACTTATGCTTCTATCAATGTAAATAGTTTTCTAAAAAAATTAAAAAATGGATGCCAAAGATAACTCCAATTGATAATCAAAGGCTTTTTTATTATACTTGTGTTACTTAGTCTGCAACAACAAGGATCAATGACTTTCTATTTCAGTGCCAATGATTGTGCGTGCAGACTATATTATACATAGTTGGAAAATAGCTCTGATCACTGGATTGGAAGAATAAACCCCAAAAATGCTAGCCAACGCTAATAACACTAAGTTTCAAAGTTACAGATTAGTCTTGACTAGTCTGGTCCAAGACATTGCTTTTTATTCTAACTCCTTGTGATTCTGCACTTGCAACATCAAAAATCTCAGTGCCAGACATCAGAGGGTTTCTGCCAGGTTCTTACAAGTTGACAACTGGTCGTGGTTGTGCGGAGGTATCCATTGAGGGCGATGATCTTGGTGTCCGAGAGGTATGAGTCGCGTGAACCTTATTAAGTTTCAGGTTCTAGAGATGTTGACTGTAATATTACATTGTTGGGCTTTGGAGCTTTCCAGCCTCCCTCGTAAACTCCAGTTTTGAGCATCTATTGCATCCTTGGCTCACCACACTTGCATGCTTCTTCCATATGCCTGCTTTTGCTGCTGGATCGTGTTGTGTTGGGGGTTGGGGTTGGGTGATGAGCTCGCGTCATCTTGGTGCTTCACTCACGCGCATTCTCTACGTAAATGCAGTCCAATGGCGCTGCAGATTCGGTCTGGTAGCCAGCTTCATTCTCTATGTTGAGGAGCTGCTCGAACCCCAAGCCTTGCAGAAC